GCTATACCCAGCCCTTATACCTGTCTCAATCTAGTGAGAGTGAGGTGTGGGGTGGGAATGAGGGATTTGGGTGTGACTGTGTGCAGGAAGTCCCACAGCCCCACTGGGACCATGCGCACGGGCTGCTGCTGGCGGGGCAGGCAGCCCGGTTCAGTTTCGGCTCACGCCGAGTGTGCGACTAGAACCCTCTGTGGCTCTACAATTTAAAATGCAGTAGGGGCTGGGGGCAGGCTGAGTTTTGGGAGGGGAGGGGGGTAGCTTGCTTTTGATTCCATTCCCCAGACTCTCAGGGAGTGAGGGAAAAGTACTTGCATCCCGTGAGTTACTTCTCTGTCCCCTCCCTTCACCAGCCATGAGTAAGGGTATGTCGCCAGAGGCATGTAGATTAGGCTACCAGACATAGGAAAATGAAGCAGTGATTTAAATAATCGCCGCTTCATTTAAATTTACATGGCTGCCGCGCTGAGCCGATCAGCTGTTTGTCGGCTCAGCACCGAGCACGGCGCGTCCAGACTACCGCACTGTGCTGCCAAACAGCCCATCGGCACAGCACGGTGGCCATTTTGATGTAAATGAAGCAGCGATTATTTAAATTGCTGCTTCATTTTCCTATGTCTAGTAAACTCATCTACATGGCTCCATAGATGGAGCCATGTAGTCTAGACATACCCTCAGTGTGCTAAAGTTGGTGCTGGGTTAGGCACACCGGTTCCTTTTCCTCTATACAGGGTCCCTGCACTCCAATGCACAGGGAAGTAAGGGAAGGAGCCAAAGGACACATTACCTGGCTATTCTTTTCTTTGGTTCATCTAGTTGCAGGCAGGACCACAAGAGCTATCAGCCTCTATAGCCTGGGCTAGGGAAGGATAGGTCATTGGTGGAGAAATCCAGAGTCCAGTCTTCTATTAGGGTTGTATGATGGGTCCTTGTCTTTCCCTCTTAAAACCATTTAGTTGAACAGGCTGTTTTTGTGGATAAAAACTCTTCGCCACATAAAGCACTGATAAACTGGAAAGAATTGGAGGTGCAGAGCCAAAACCGATAAAAGGCTTGGATAGCATAACCTTTAAAGACAAGTTTAAGGAATTTCCCATATACAGCTTGACAAAAGGATAACAAATACTTAGAAGGAAGAGCAGAGTTTTGGAAGGGCAAAGAGGGCAGCAGCCATGTGTACTGAGACATGGCTTGCTTTTCTTCCCAGTCCCTGGACTCTCAGGGAGCGAGGGGAAAGTACTTGCATTCCGTGCATGTCTCTTAGGGTACGTCTAGACTACATGACTCTGTCGCCAGAGGCATGTAGATTAGGCTACCAGACATAGGAAAATGAAGCGGCGATTTAAATAATTGCCGCTTTATTTAAATTTACATGGCTACTGCGCTGAGCCGACAAACAGCTGATCAGCTGTTTGTCGGCTCAGCGCAGTAGCCATGTAAATTTAAATAAAGCGGCAATTATTTAAATCGCCGCTTCATTTTCCTATGTCTGGTAGCCTAATCTACATGCCTCTGGCGACAGAGTCATGTAGTCTAGACGTACCCTAAGAGACATGCACGGAATGCAAGTACTTTCCCCTCGCTCCCTGAGAGTCCAGGGACTGGGAAGAAAAGCAAGCCATGTCTCAGTACACATGGCTGCTGCCCTCTTTGCCCTTCCAAAACTCTGCTCTTCCTTCTAAGTATTTGTTATCCTTTTGTCAAGCTGTATATGGGAAATTCCTTAAACTTGTCTTTAAAGGTTATGCTATCCAAGCCTTTTATCGGTTTTGGCTCTGCACCTCCAATTCTTTCCAGTTTATCAGTGCTTTATGTGGCGAAGAGTTTTTATCCACAAAAACAGCCTGTTCAACTAAATGGTTTTAAGAGGGAAAGACAAGGACCCATCATACAACCCTAATAGAAGACTGGACTCTGGATTTCTCCACCAATGACCTATCCTTCCCTAGCCCAGGCTATAGAGGCTGATAGCTCTTGTGGTCCTGCCTGCAACTACATGAACCAAAGAAAAGAATAGCCAGGTAATGTGTCCTTTGGCTCCTTCCCTTACTTCCCTGTGCATTGGAGTGCAGGGACCCTGTATAGAGGAAAAGGAACCTGTGTGCCTAACCCAGCACCAACTTTAGCACACTGAGGGTATGTCTAGACTACATGGCTCCATCTATGGAGCCATGTAGATGAGTTTACTAGACATAGGAAAATGAAGCAGCAATTTAAATAATCGCTGCTTCATTTACATCAAAATGGCCACCGTGCTGTGCCGATGAGCTGTTTGGCAGCACAGTGCGGTAGTCTGGACGCGCCGTGCTCGACAAGGGAAGCCTTTGTCAACCGCTCTGGTAAACCTCATTTCACAGCATAATGGAAATGAAATGAGGCATAACGGAGTGGTCGACAAGGCGCATCCAGACTACCATGCTGTGCCGCCAAACAGCTGATCGGCACAGCATTGTGGCCATTTTGATGTAAACGAAGCAGTGATTATTTAAATCACCGCTTCATTTTCCTATGTCTAGTAAACTCATCTACATGACTCCATTGATGGAGCCATGTAGTCTAGACATACCCTGACTGTGCAACAGTACCTGTCCCACTCCTAGTGGTATTTTGCATATGCCTTTAGTGACTGAAGTTCATGTGGTGTTTGCTCCAAAAGAAGGCTCACTGCATTGAGACTAGGCTTGCTCCAACCCCAGTATCTACAGTGCAATATCATCAGTAAATGACATATATAAAACATTTTAGGGGACATGCAAGGCTACATGCAAGGTTGTCTGAAAAGAGCATCAGTCCATACTTTCCTCTTTGCCTCAGAAGAGTTGTTTTCTTTGTCTTTCTCTCTTTCTAGTACAGAGGTGGGCAAAATGCAGCCCACGGGATCTGGCCCTCCAAACCACCGGATCCAACTCCAGTGGGAGCCTCGGGCAGGGGCTCTGCCTTCCACACCCCCGCATGCCTCTCAGAGCGACCTGCTGCGGGGGCCATGTGCTTCTCCGCATTCTGTGAACCTCTGGCAGGGGCTTTGCACACTGCCTCTGCCCCCAGCACAATCTCACAGGTCCTAATGGTCGGAAAGCAGCCAATTGGAGCTATCTGGGACGGGCTTGCAGTGCAGGCAGCACGTGACGCCTGACTCCCAGGGGTGCACGGCACTCAGAAAGCACAGCAGGGTGCTTTGTTTCTCATTGTTTATAGATATGAGTATTTCTACATGAGTAATGTCTAAACTGAAGCTTTCTTGCCTTCATACTAGCCTCCCTCTTCTATCTGCTTTGAGCATTTCTATATTAAATAACATTGATCTGAGAGTTGCAACTCAATACTCTCATACCATGTATCATGCACAATCTGTATTTATGCCATATATGATTATAGAAGTATGCACCTTCATAGAATCATATAGACACTAAAATGTAAGAGACATATTGAGTCCAATTTAAGTTTATTCCGTGCCAATGCACGGTTCCCCCCAAAGCATATACTCAAATGTCTCAAGCCTTGGGGAATCGATTTTTATTTTATTTAAATTTTCTTTTTGTAAAGCTTTTCTGAATCAGTCAAGATTCAATAAAATAAGATTGTCAAATAAATTACTTCTCATTTCTGCCCACAGTTATACTCCCGCAGGGATCTGGAAAAATATCAGGGTCATTAGCCTTCGAGCCCATAATACCATGCTGCTTTGGGGAGGGGCAGAGTGGTGAAGTGGTTTAATGCATTACTCAAACTCTAGATTCCTGCAGGGCTATTGTCCTGTCCGTATAAATCTTATTAACATTTCTTGAAATTATGAATATTGAAAGGAGACCGACTTTATATCTGGCTGATGTAAGAGTGATATGTAAATACGGGTCTCAACTTAGTTCCAATTTTGAATATTTCATTTAGACAGATCTGAAAACTGAACCAAAATTCTCTTTTATGGAGGCCCTCCAATGAAAAACCAGAGAGCATAGCTTTCTGCAAACTCTTTGGGCTGAATTATGACCTCAAGTGCTTACACATAACGCTAATTGAAGTCACTAAGACTTTTGTTCACTTATCTAAGGACAGAATTTGGCCCTATGCCTTAACATCACCATGCTCTTCATCTGCCTTAGTCATCAGTGCTAAACTTAACCGTATTCATCAACAATAATTACACATTATCATAGTTTAACATAAAAATGAAAGGTTTATTAATGCTGGTATGAGCCAAGAAAACCACTAAACAGTGACTGAACTAATTCAATTTAAAATGATTTTATTTTTTAATATAGCAGTCTTTCATGTAGCAACACATTGATAACTGGAAATAGGCCTTAAATATTTGAATTTCACAGTTCAGTTCTTTGGTGGATGAAAGCAAAAGGATACAGCATTTAAGGGTAAATTCCAAGCTAGTGTAGATCAGTGAAACTATGCTAATTTATACTAGCTGAGGATCAGACTCTTAGCTTTCAGGGTCTTTAGCACAAAAAGCTCTCAAAAGTAATTCTCTACCTCATATTGGAAAAAGGTGGGGAAAATAATTAATGTCCAAACAGTAGCCCATAGCACAATGTTAATTAAATCTTTACTTAGCTATATCCTGTACCTAATTGGTCTCACTGATCTCAGAAACCATTAAAAAATAAGGCAACCAATATCTTTTATGGTATTTGTAGTAAATACACTGCCACCCTGACAGCACATTCCATAAGTCTTTGTAGCACAAATATGAACAACATAATTCCTTTTCAGAAGGGATTTGTGAATTTCCTTTGTAAAGACAACAGTCACTGATAAATATAGATTCTTTCCTAGGCTTATCTATTGGCCTTTCATTTAACTTGCAGCATTTATGTAATTGGAAATACATTACAACCATTTCCGTGAAATTAGACATTAACTAATTTATGTAATAACACACACATACACACACTTACACTTTCAAGATGTGCCAGTCTGGAAGATTTAGTCTATGCTGTATATACCATGCACATTTTTGTAATGTGTGGTTCTAAAAAGAACAATGCACTGACCTCATTGATGAAAGTTTGGGCTCCTCTTGGGCTTAGAAGTAAAATTGCTCTTCGTAAGGTGTCACGGTAGCGATTCAACTCTTCCGTTTTCATGGTAGTAAAAAGGCTGGCAAAAACCCTGCTGATGTTTCTGTCCACCTTTTGTAAAGACACATCAAGTCCTAGTCTTGAAGCCTGGTCCAAAAATCCCTGCAACCCACGAATATCTATAAAACAGGAACAAAATCACACTCTAAGACAAAGCTTTTTAAGCTAAAAGTATTGCCCTTACCAAACCAGAGGCAATGGTAATATGTTGCCAATTATTACTATTTATATTATCATAACATTTAGGAGCACAAGTCCTGGACAAAGACCCCATTGTGTTAAGCATTCTAAAAAGAGACAACAAATGGTTGCAGACAGATAAGGAAGCATAAGAAAGCAATAAGACAATGTAGCAGCTGTTGTCAAGTTTTTTGATCTCTTTACTTTGTTTCTACTGAAATGCATTTCACACTGCTGCTCAAGTGAGTAGGAGTTCCCTATGAATGGCAATGGTAAAATCATGCCCTATATTGATAATGGAACAGCCAAAAATAAGTAGAATTACGATAGGATCATTTGTACATATTTCCTCCAGTACAAAAGCATAGAGTAGAATACATGAACGCCAAAACAAGATGTGCACAGGCAGTAGAATGTGACTCAATGAAAGGTTAAAATTCATTATCTTATTCACCTTCTTTCTTCTGAACACAATGCTTAACAATAGAAACAAATGGCATCACAATGAAATTGAAACAGAGTTGACAACTGTATTGGTAATCTACTGTTTATCATAAATGTGTGTCCCCTTTCTTTTAAGTAATTTTATCGACAAACAAATTCATTTTGTTTTATAAATTCTTTAGTTAAGTTGGTGGAAATGTTTTGAAAACTATTCTCTGTTTTCCATAAAGCAAACAGAAAAAATACAACAGTGAGTTACATCTGTCAGATTCTTAGATTCATAGACCAGAAGTGCATAGTGAATAGTCTGATCAGATAGTAATAGAGTTCATTGGTCTCTCAGGGTATGTCTACACTACCCTGCTAGTTCGAACTAGCAGGGTAATGTAGGCATACCACACTTGCAAATGAAGCCCGGGATTTGAATTTCCCGGGCTTCATTTGCAAGTGCCGTATGCCTACATTACCCTCCTAGTTCGAACTAGGAGGGTAATGTAGGCATACGGCACTTGCAAATGAAGCCCGGGATTTGAATTTCCCGGGCTTCATTTGCAAGTGCCGTATGCCTACATTACCCTCCTAGTTCGAACTAGGAGGGTAATGTAGGCATACGGCACTTGCAAATGAAGCCCGGGATTTGAATTTCCCGGGCTTCATTTGCAAGTGCCGTATGCCTACATTACCCTCCTAGTTCGAACTAGGAGGGTAATGTAGGCATACGGCACTTGCAAATGAAGCCCGGGATTTGAATTTCCCGGGCTTCATTTGCAAGTGCCGTATGCCTACATTACCCTCCTAGTTCGAACTAGGAGGGTAGTATAGACATACCCTCACTATTTATTTTTCTAGCTGATCAACAGTTTTTAAGTCTAATAGTCTGACTAAAGCTGGATGGAAATGGTATGTATTTTCTGTGAAATTTTTTTGGAAAAAAAAAAGAACTCCTTGATCCAACCATGGAAATGTGTGCTACTATAAGTACATCAGATATTCAAATTAATGCTGGCTTATTTCTTATATAGCTGGAATCATGCCATGGAAACACTTAAATAATGTATTAAATGCGAATAGCCAGTATTTGGACTTAAAGAGTCTGAGCCAAAGTTCATTGAAGCAAATGGGGTTCAAACCTTAAATTCTCTCTCTCATCACATATACATATAAAATTCTCTCATGTCTTTTTCCAATTTGTGCAGGTAACAAAATCATCCTATTATCAAGAAGACTGGCAAGTCTAATCTGGGGAAGTCCAAAAGAAGAAACACACCGATGAGGGAGAAGCCTAACACAATCTTTTCCCTAGTTGACCTTTTGCTGTCTTAAATGAGCAAGTGACACTCAGAAAATTCACTTGGGATTAAAAATAAAACAAATAGATTCTATAATAATACTGACTAATCAATTTCATTAAATCTCTTTGGTTTGACTGTCTATTTCTTTAGTGAAAGAATTACATTTAGTGTAATAATATTATGAAAATTGAGAGACAGAGCTCCATTTAGTTTACACATCCTACCTAGGAAGATTCCATCAACTCAAACTCAGTCAAGCTCAAACCATGTGTTTGAAATCCATTTCTCCCCCGTGGACACCAGGGGCTTTTTATGCAGCCACAGACCTCCTGGGAGGTGATTTTGGAGGAGCAAAGCATTGCCTTTGGCCCTCCCTCCTGGATGCGCCACCCTGCGCTGCCTTTGGAGATCGGTGGGACAAACTATAGTGACAGAGCAAGAAAAGTTCATACGGGAGGTGCAGTGGGGCTTGGGTTCACCCCTAGGGTGTTTAGCCATAGGCTGGGGTGCTGAGAGTTAGGGAGATGGAGATTCTACAACCCCCCGCCTCTCCCAGGCAATTTATTCCAGTGTTTAACCACCCTGATAGTTAGGAAGTTTTTCCTAATGTCCACCCTAAACCTCCCATTGCTTCTTGTCCTATCATAAGAGGTCAAGGACAACAATTTGTCTCTCTCCTCCTTATGACACCCTTTTAGATACCTGAAGACAACTATCCTGTCCCCTCTCAGTGTTCTCCTTTCCAAACTAAACAAGCCCAATTCTTTCAATCTTGCCTCATAGGTCATGTTCTCTAGATCTTTAATCATTCTTGTTGCTATTCTCTGGACCTTCTCCAATTTCTCCACATCTGGACTGGACACAATACTCCAACTGAGGCCTAATCAGCAAAGAGCAGATCTGCCATTTCCAAGTTTCCTGTTATTGTTTCTCCCTCCTCACTGAGCTCCCTATCCTTGGTATTCCTCTTGCTTCTAATATATGTATAGAAAGTCTTCCTGTTACCCTTTATGTCTGTAGCTAGTTTGAGCTAGTTTTTGTGCCTTTGCCTTTCTAATCTTTCCCCTGTATTATTTGCTTATATTCATCCCTTGCAATTTGTCCTAGTTTCCACTTTTTATACATCTCCTTTTTGATTTTTAGATCATGTAAGATTTCCTGATTAAACCAGGGTGGTCTCTTGCCATACTTTCTATCTTTCTTACATAGTGGAATAGTTTGTTTCTGGGCCCTTAATAATGTCCTTTTGAAAAATTGCCAGCTGTCTTCAGTTGTTGTTCCTCTTAGTGTTACTTCCCATGGGACCTTACCTACCAGCTCTCTGATCTTACCAAAATCTGCCTTCCTGAAATCCATTGTCTCTATTTTGCTGTTCTCTCTTCTACCGTTCCTTAGAATCATGGACTCTACTATTTCATGATCACTGACTTCCATTTTCTGAACCAGTTCCTCCCTATTTGCTAAAATCAAATCGAGAACAACTTCCTCCCAGTAGATTTTTCAACCTTCTGAAATAAAAAAATTGTCTTCAATGTAGTCCAAGAACTTATTGGATAGTCTGTGCCCCGCTGTGTTAGTTTCCCAACATATGTCTGGATAATTGAAGTCCCCCATCATCACCAAATCCTGCACTTTGGATGATTTTGTTAATTTAAAAAAAGCCTCATTCACCTTTCCTACCTGGGTAGGTGGTCTATAGTAAACCCCTAGCATGGCATCACTCTTAGGTTAAATGGGGTGAAAAACAACCCAGAGACTCTCAACACGTCTGTCTCCTACATCCATCTCCACTTCAGTCCAAGTGTACATTTTTAATATATAAGCTAACACCTCCTCCATTTCTTCCCTGCATATCCTTCCTGATTAAGCTGTACCATTCTATAGCAATATTCCAATTGTGTACATTATCCCACCAAGTCTCTGTGATACCAACGATGTCATAATTGTGCTTATTTACTAGCACTTCAGGTTCATCCTGCTTATTCCCCATATTCTTGCATTCATATATAGGCACCTAAGATACTGATTTGATCTTGCCTCCCATTTTTGCCTTGTCCCTCCTTTTTCTCTGCTATTATAGCTCATGGTCTCTCCCATTCTGACCTATCTCCCAGGTCTCCATATTCATCACTTACCTGTGGGCTTTGGTCACCTGTCAATATTAAAAAATATTGACCCAGAGAAACCTACATAAATAAATTGCAATGATTTGTATGTTGGTATGTGCATATTAATTTATTTTTCCTAAAGATAATGTAGCTTTTTGGGAAAAATATGTCAATTTTTGGTCACACTCTGTGGCCACCCAAAATGTTGTTGTGGGAACCTACAATTTAGAACATTCCGTGAATGAAAAGGAATATACAGTAACTATATTATATATAACTACAAGAGACTGGAGAGGCTTATCACTGAAGCACTGTTTGCTGATGACTGTGCTCTTATGGCGCACCAAGAGAACCACCTGCAGACCATCATTGACAGATTCTCTGAAGCATTCAAACTGTTCGGTCTCACAATTAGCCTCGGAAAGACAGAAGTCCTCTTCCAGCCTGCAGCAAACAGTGCTCCTCCACAGCCATGTATCACTATCGATGGCACACAACTAAAGGTAGTGGACAGCTTTAAGTACTTGGGCAGCACAATATCAAGCAATGGATCCCTTGACAAAGAGATTACAGCGAGGATCCAGAAAGCCAGTCAGGCACTTGGGAGATTGTGTATTAAAGTTCTCCAGCACAAAGATATTCGCCTTTCAACTAAGCTCAGGGTATATAATGCTGTGGTCCTCATCTCTCTCTTGTATGGCTGTGAAACATGGATCCTGTACCATAGGCACATCAAGTGGATGGAGCCATTTCATATGTGCTCCCTACGATCAATCATGCGAGTACGCTGGCTGGATCAAATTACTAACCAAGAAGTGCTTGACAGAGCTGGTTCCACAAGCATCGAAGCTAAGATCCTCTAGACCCAGCTTAGATGGTCTGGACATATTCTCTGCATGGACAAAAACAGGATCCCGAGGCAGCTGTTTTACGGGAAGCTGGTACGTGGTGGTCGCAAACAGGGACGCCCGAGGAAGAGGTATAAGGATAACCTGAAGACCAACTTGCAGTGGACAGGCCTTCAACCTCCACAATTTGAACTAGCTGCTGCAGACAGGACTAACTGGCGTTCCCTTATGAGGAAAGCAGTGACAA